ATATATATGTATTATCCCGTTCGGGAGATCCATAATGGTTTTCCATAAAAACGATTTGTACGTGTACGACGAGATAACCATAATGGACTAACATGAAAATTTGGATATCTATTACGTTTTATATATTGTTCATCTTCATCATTATTATCATCATAATTATTATTTTGATTTATTTCAGATGAAGCTGAATTTATATGTTGTTCATCTAATTGTTGTTGAATGGCATCAATTAATGTTTGTATTTGTTGTCGTTGATTATATCGTTGAAAATATGCTGGATTAATACCATATAATGTATGAATAAAAAGACTAAATATTAAAAGTACAGAAAATGATGAACGAATAAGCATTGTTTATTGTAATTGATAGAAATTGTTAAAATAATTTTATTGTTGAGTTTGTAATGTCACAGAGTTTATATTTGGCCGTAGAGAGAAAATACCTTAGAGAAACATAGAGAGAGAAAGAGAAAAAGAGAAAAGGAGAAGTAAACCAATCAAGAATTAGTATACAGACGAAATAATTCTTTTTTCTTTTCTTCGATCAATATATTGTTTGGATCTACGTCAGTTTCTTTTTCATACATTAAAATATCATAAATAATGAACATGTATCCATACTTATATCTATATTTCTAAATATAATAGAAAATAATGGATAGCAATTGTTGACATTGAATTATTAATTATTATACAAAAAGAAAAACTAAAGAAAACTATTGAAAATGCCGTCATAATATTTTTGTCTAATTCCTTTTCTTGAAAAGACCCATGTGAATGGTAAAAGAAAGAAAAGCTTAACAAAAGAAATTCATAATATGACTTCGTGCATGCGATTTTAATAGAAAGAAATAATAATGTATCATAATATAATACAAAAATACAATTAATTGAAATATATAGTTAATTATAAGATAATATGATTTCGAAATAGTAAAATCTATTAATTAAAATATTTTTAGATACATATGAGCCAATCTATTATGTCTCATTTATTTCCATCTTATGTTTTCCAAATTAAAATTTTATTTTTTTTATTTATTTTTCTTTTGAATATTAATTCAAATTATTCATTGAAGTCAAATGAATATCTTGGGAATACAGGAAAACATCTTTTTCATTTTGTACAAGTAATGAAATATTTTCGAGAAAAACAATAATATTTATTGAATTATTCTATTAGGTATCTGATATTCATGTAACACATATCGGTTATAATGATCGAATGAAACAATTTGAACAATTTTGTAATGAAATTATTAAAACATTAGTTAAACCATCAGTTACTATTGTATCAGGTAATAAAAACAACAATAATTATTAAAATAATTTAATTAATATTTATTAAGGTGATCTTGTACATAGTGTGAGTGGTCTTATACGTAAAGGTGATCGACCATTTCGAACAGCACAATTCGAAGAAGAATGGAATATGTATCAAGATATATTAAATCGAACAAATGTTACAAAATATACAAAATGGCTTGATATAAAAGGAAATCATGGTAAATAAAAACTCTTTTCATAGAAAATATCTCTTATATTTTAATATCAATAGATACATTTATGGATCCAAATCCTGATTCTTCAATGAGTTTCTATCGGTATTTATTAATAATTTTGTTTTGTCGTATATCAATAAAATAATTTTAATTATTTAAGAATGTATTCAAATCAAGGATATGAACATAGTGGTTCATATGAATATACATTGAAAACAAATGATGGTGATAGTTATTCATTTGTTAGTGTTGATTTGTGTCCAAAACCTGGTCTTGGTGGTTTACTTAATATTTATGGTTCCATAACAAATGTAAAACTAATCTTTTTTCTCTCTTTTTCTCTTAAAATAAATTTTCATTTTGAAAATTTAGAAAGAAATGAAAATTGTAAAAAAATTATCTGAACAAACAAAAACTTCTAATACAACAATATTCTTTGGTCATTATCCATTATCATTTACTTATTCGTCTGGACTTAAAAAATTAATGAATCATGCTATTGTTTATTTAAATGGTCATCTTCATGCCGGTTTTAAACATTTATATAATCTTCATTCAGATGGATTACTTGAACTTGAATTAGGAGATTGGAAATCTAATCGACGGTATATATATATTTCTTCTTTTTTAATTAAAAAACTACGTGTTTTTCTTCATATAGATTTCGTATAGTAACTATTGATTCTGGAATATTATCTTTTGAAGATTTTCGGTTTAATCAATCTATTTATGCTGTTATATCAAATCCAACCGCAGCTAAATTTAAAACAACAAGAGAACCACTTTATCGTTTAAGTCAAAGTACACATATTAGGTTAATAGAATCATATTTTATTTATTAAAAAAATAAATAATTTTTTTCTTCTTTTAAGAATTCTTGTATTTGCTCAATTACCAATAAGTAAAGTAGATATTACAATTGATAAACAATATATGGGTTCAGCTATTCAATCAATTGATAATTCAAATTTATTTGTTTTACCATGGAATACAAGTTTTTATAATGATGGAAATCTTCATGAAATTTTTGTTAAAATTAAAGTAAATAAAACTAAATATTTTTGAAATATTTATTTATTAGTTTATAACTAAGGATAATGCAAATAATATAGTGACTATCAAACATGATTTTTCTTTATCACTATCAACAATAACAGCATGGAATCGTTCAAAATTTCTTCTTACAGTTCATCAACCAACTCTTGTAAAAAAAGATTTTCTTAACAAAAAAAACTTCATAATAATAATCTTTTTTAATTCTTAGATTTTAATTGTTCTCATCTTATCTTTATGTATATATATTCTCATTTTACTCTATTATCGATATCAAGCAAAGAAAAAATCATGTAAGTCAAATATCGTATTGAAATAGAAAACCCATAGACGTGGGTGTTAGCTTAAACGAATTGAATAAGATCGTAGGTGTTGATTAAATAACAGATCGTGTAAATGCGTAAGACCTTAATGCAAAAATAAAAGAACATATGTCACGAACTAATGACAAAAATAGCATATCTGTGTGATATGTCTGTCAATTATGATTATATATACGAATAGATTTTATCTATTCGATAATGACGGATTTTCTTAACTATGCCTGATCCGTAGTAATGATTAAAACTATTACAATTACTCTCTTATAGTATTTTTTCTTATTAGATATTGTGGGCGTATAGTCTTATCTGAAGATTGGATCGCTCTAGATGACTAACGGTGACAATGAGATGAAGTAGAGTGAAGGATAATAGAGATAATTTATGGCAAAGAAATCAGCATTATATATGGATGAATTGCAAAAAATATTGTAACGTTTAATAACTCTAGTTTCTCTCGATCAATCTTTGGGGAAATTTCAGATTAGAATTTCGTACTTAGTGCTCATTACCGCACAAAAAACCACATATTTATTATTAGCTTATCGTGAGATGCTATAGAAACAAGGTTCAAATGATTTACTTTTACTGTCATCTATTGACAGAAAAGGACAGATTTACAGTAAAAATTCTGTACTTTCCGAATATGAGTTTGACGAATCTTGGTTACATGGGATTAATAACTAATCCTGTAATTGAACAATGAGTGGGATAGTGCTGAATAAAAATCAAGACATGAGAAATGGAAACTGTCAGAAAGATTAGAATATTCTTCTATTTCTTGTTAAGAAAAAACCATAACATGAAACTTGAAAACTCATTTATCATGCTGAATGTCATGCGAGATGGTCTCATCTTGTTTGACGTACACCTTTCTTTAAGAGAGACTATTTGAACTGGAATTTGGATCATTTTATGTACTCAGTGAAAGAAACTATTTTTCAAAAACTTAGGATAAAAAGATTTGGTGTCAATATTTCACACGGGATTTTGTTCGGACGTATCACGCGAGATTATCATACACAGATTTCACCTCACAAATAAGACCAAGCTATCAATAATCATGCGAATGAACTATAGCTTTTGTCTTACAACTAATAAATTCACGGATAAAGGTCACTAATTATATACAGCCTATAACTCACTGCATATTGACAAATTTTATTAATGTATACATGTAAAACCAGATATAACGCAAGGAACAACCGTACTATTGCATCCGCTAATTCTAAATCAATTCTCCGATATAGTACATTAAAATGCACTACTCACTATTTCGAAACTGAAGTCTTGTTTTCTTGGAACGATACAATCATTTTGCAATTCATTCATATATTTCACACAGACAAAAGTAAAGTTGGACCATGACCATCCCCAGCTGCATAAAAGAAAAATGATGAAATATATAAAAAAACAAATATTTTTTATTTCTTTTTCAGCTATTTTTACAAGTCGTTTTGGAGCATGGAATCGATTTTGTCTACGAATGACATTACTTTGTTCAGTTGATTTTCTATATTATTCATTACTTGCCTTTGCATTATTTCATTTTATTGGTAAATATCTTCTTTATTTTAAAGTATATTTTTTTTTGAAAAATATTTTATTTCATAAGGTCCATGGTATATTGGTTTTTTAACAAAAGATTATTTTGGTGCCACTTTTCTTTGGGGTACATTAATACAAGGAACTTATTTACCACCTGATGGACAGTTAGTCGCGGGAAATTTTCAAGTAATTTCTTTTTTATTAAAAACAAAATAAAATATATTTATTTTCTTTTTCTTTTTAGTTATATTTCTTTTTATTTCCATTTACATATTGTTTAAGTTCATCATGTTATTATCATTATAAACAAATTCAATCAAATAATAACAATCAAAGAAAATCTCATTTCAGTCGTTATTTTCGAATTTCTATAGTTTATATTTTATTTATATATATATTACTTTATGTTTTATTTTGGTCATATGTAATGACAGGATCGTTTAAACTTGGTTTTATATTATCACCATTTGGATTATTATTAATTATATTTGTAATAAT